CGTCGGATCCCACAGCGGGCTCGATCGGGAGTCTTGGACGCGCTTTGCTGTATCTTGAAGCGATTGAAGAGCCGACCGGGGGACGAAGCCGCTACCATCCTACTCTTGGCGTTCCCATGCCTCATCCTAGCTGTGCCTCCCAAGCCGGGCATAGGCCAGAGGGCGCTGATCATAGAGCGGCTGGGGGCCTTCTGGGAGGGGAGGTGGCGGGAGCTGTTTGACTTTGCCATGGCGGCGACGCGGCCAGCTGTTCGCCCACTCGCCTACACCTGCTCTGACCAGGACCCCGATGCTATACGCCTTTCGCGTTTCCGATCTCGGTGTAAGGTGGGCGAGTGGAGCCGTGGGGTGGCTTGCCTTACGGCAGGGGAGTTGGCTAGACCGTCTGAGGCCATGGTGCAGTCACTGCGGGGGAAGCACCCTGCTTGCGCCGAGGATGTACCAGAATGGGTCCGTGATTTCACTGTGGATGCTCCTCAACGGCCCATGCTCACGAGTGACATACTGGCCAGAGCTATCCATACTGCCGCGCGAGCTTCAGCTGCGGGGCCGTCGGGGTGGGTCACGGAGCATTTGCGTGATACCTTTCTCACAAAGCCCTCTTGCCTTTCCCATCTGCTAGAGGTGTTCAACCAATGGGTGACAGGACAGGTCCCCGAGCGAGCTCGGCCCTGGCTCGCCGCATCCAACCTAGTTGGGCTTTCCAAGCCTAACGGCGACGTCAGGCCAGTCGCTATTGGGGAGGTGCTTCCGCGTATTCTAGCTCGAGCTCTCTGCATCTCGCTCCGCCCCGTGATGGCTTCCTACTTTCTGCCATGCAACCAGTTGGGGGCGGGCACCAGGGCGGGGGTAGAGATTCTCACCCATGCTTGTTGGTCAGCGCTGGCCACTCACCCCGACTGGTGTGCGCTGCAGATCGACGTCGCGAACACCTTCAATTCGTTTCACCGTCACACGATGTTCGAGGGGTTGCGGAAGTCGCCTTTCTTTGGATTAATCCCATTCTTGCGTGTCTTCTATGGCGCGCCTAGCGACTTGTACCTTCGGGCGGGCCCCTTCGTAGAGAGCCTCGCGTCGGCACGGGGTTCGCGCCAGGGGGACCCTCTCGGCCCCTTTGTTTTCGCGTTCACGCAGCAAGAGGTGATGGAGCCGATTACTAGGGAGTTCACGGACTTACTCTTCCTCAGTTATGCGGATGACACCTGTATCTTGGGTCCAGCGGCTAGAATCCTGGAGGTCTTTGGGGTGCTGCGGGAGCGGTTGGAGTGGGTGGGGCTGGAGGTGCAGGCGCACAAGTGCCAGTTTTGGGAGCGCGAGCACGGGGATGTGGAGCAGACACTGCCATTAGGGATGCAGCGGGTGGAGGAGGGCCTCACTGTGGTGGGCGTACCCATTGGGGATGAGGTTTGGGAGGCGGCCCGCTTGCGGGAGCGGCTTCGACAGTTGCAGGGGCCATTGCCATGGCTCCCCTTGCTCGACCACCCCCAGATGGCTTCGCATCTCCTCGCCATCGCAGTTTCAGCGCGGCCGATGTATCTCGCCCGGACTATGCCGCCGCGGCCGGAGGTGGTGGAGGCTTTTAGAGATTGGGACAGCTGCTTGGAGGACTGTTTTGAGCAGCTCTTCCCACCAAGCACTTGGGAGCAGGACCCCGGCAGGTCTAGGCGCGCACGCATGCAGCTGCATCTCCCAGTACGACTCGGGGGGTTTGGGATCCGGGCGGCGGCCTCTTTGAGCCCGCTGTCCTATGTTTGTGGATGGGCACAAGCTGCGCGTGATATTGCACACCTGGGGGTGGCGGGTGAGGAGGCGATGTTTGCGGATTACCTCAGCACTCCGGCAGGGGCGGAGTTTCTTGACCCGTGGTTTGCTAAGGCCCTTGAGCAGCTGCCTGCGGCTGTGCGTCAGGAGATGTCGGGCCTATCTTTGTGTTTGGCAGCCCCTCCTCTACGGCTTTTCCAAGCGCGGCATCGGCAGTTGGCTGTAGAGGAGCTCCAGGCTTTGCGCCGCTTAGCCCGTGACGATGCCACCCTGGCCCGTTTCACATCCCTTCAGGGTCCGGGGGCTGGTTCATGGGTTTCGGTGGTCCCAGCTCATTCAGATCTCACATTTACTACGGCTGAGTGGGGCATCGCAGCGGCTATACGGCTCGGGCTCCCAATTCAGCAGCTGCGGGTGGCGGGGCGGTGTATTTGTGGCACAGCGTATGATGACCCAGCGGACCCGCATCATGCCCTGAGATGTAAGCACCAGCACGGTCCATCTCGAGTGCATGATGAGGTGAAGTTTGTAGTGGCGAGGACTGCTAAGGCGTCAGGAGGGGTGGTGACACTGGAGGATGGCGCGGTGCTGCCGGGGAAGCGGGTCGATGTAGCGGTGCGGCGACCAATGGATGGGGAAGCTCACGCTCTAGAGATTAGCGTCGCGGACCCTCTGTCGCTGTCTCCTTCGCTGCTAGGGCAGTGTGGGCGTTCCATAGGAGTGGCGGCGAGGGAGTGGGAGCGTCGCAGGACGGGCGATTACGCACCCCTGCTTGCACGCAACCCGGGCGTGCAGTTCACCCCTTTGATAGTAGAGACGTGGGGGTGTCTAGGCGGTCGGTTTCGGCGGTGGCTTCGACAGCAGGGGGATGCACACTTGGGGCTAGCGGTGTCTCGTGGGGCATGTCGAGAGGACGACCATTCGTTTTCGGCTTATCTAATGGGGTCTTTGAAGGGGCTCATCAGGGTGGCGTTATAGCGGGCACAAGCCCGTGTTATTCTGCTTCGCGCGGCGTCTTACATGGGGGGTTCAAACGTGGATTTGGTGGACAGGGAGGAGGACGATGTCGAGATGGAGGGTGGGGCTCTCTGGGTGGAGGCCCCTTACATGGTGGATGCTCGGATGTGAGCTGAGTAGGGGGGGAAAATTGGGGGGCGGTCTGGGGTGTCTCGGTTGGGTGTATGGATTGGGTGTTTTGATTGGGTGTCTTGATGGGGTTTTTTATGTATGTGCTTTTAAGATCTGGATGTCTTGATGATGTTTTTTACGTGTGTGCATTTAACATCAGGGTGTCTTGATGGGGTTTAAGAACACCACAGGGCTTGCTGTATGAATTCAAGTGGTCAAATGAAACTATCAGCTGGTCCGGGAGGCGAGTGTTGAGAAGGGCCTATTTTATTGAGGGTAAACTACCTTGTTTCCTTAAAAAAAAAAAGAAATGTTGAGTCAGCATTGAGGACGGCAAATTGAAAGAATGCAGGGTAATGCTCTTGAAGCAGACATGAATGCGTGTAATATATAAGTTTATTAAGAGTATAGCGCGTATTAATTACGAGTTTTGTAAAAGTGTTTTGTAACGCAAAAATACAGCTTTCGTTGACTCGTTATTAGCAGGCCATGGGGAACTTCACCATACCGCTGTTTCACCATACCGCTGTTCTTCAGCTTCCGTAACTTCAAGCAGAGCGAACCCTTGTTTCATCTGGAATGACAGACTCATGAAACGCGACGCATGTATGTGGGGATCATCTGCAACTTCGCGACAGAACCTAGGGTCGTTCCGACCTAGGTTGAATGAGCCCGATATCTATCGCCGGCGGAAGGGTCCCTCCCTCGGGAACATTTGTTTCGTTTTTTAAACGCACCGCAACATCCCCCGATGTTGGCGCGTCCATGGTTACCATATATGTATATGTCTGGTCTGGTGGCCTGCCGTGTCACCTCACTGTGTATCTCTCGATTATCTCCCCGCCTGCCTTTTCATGATGTTTCCCTGCTCGTCGTCGCGTCTGTCCCCCAATCCAACCATTTTCTGTTTGCTGTGTTTCAGCTGCACATGCCTACGTTGCTATATATTCCTAGGTCTACATGTTTGATGACCAGCAAACAAAGTTAGGTGCTAGCACTGTTCAAGTTCTGACTATTCATGAGGTCTAGATTGCAATACTAAGCGCCTGAAGCGGCGTCGATACAAACGGTGTAAAAGGAGACAAGGAGTTGCATATCTCAAGATGGCAAATGTGAAGTTTTCTCACCAGGGCTCCGATAAAAGCCTCTCCTCGGAATACTCGTTACACGAGAGTCCACATTCCGCAAGTATCCCCGTTAGAAGCGGCAGCCTTATGGTTAGTGAACCCTCATCCGGTCTGCAGACTCCAGTTCCCCGTACGGCGAGCCTAACGTCTCCAACTAAATCACGAAGCCGCCGCTTCATGCTCTCGTTAAGAGGCTCTCGCGATGGTACTCCGAGCGTTCCTGAATCTGTAGATGCTAATAACGGGTCCGACATAGCCGCTGCAGCAGCAGCAGCAACAGCAGCAGCGAATAAAGGCCGGCCGAAAGATCGTCGGTGGCTCTTTAGCAAGTCTGCGAGTTCTCGGTCTGCCTCTAGCGAGGTCAATAGCATCAACAGCAGCAGCAGCAGCAGCCAACACGTACACTCCTTTTTTCCCGCGGCTTTTTTTAGCGATGGAATCGCCAGCAGCGGCAGCAGCAGCATTCCCAGCAGTTACGCCGGCTCGACAGCTGGCAGCGCCGCAATCAGCGCCGTGAATAGCGGTGCTGCCGTCACCGCAACGGCCAGCGCCGAGAGTTCCGCGAGCGGGGTAAGGGCGCGCAAGAGTAAGAGCAAGGCCCGCGCGCTGCGCCGAACGACGATGGGCGCGGGGAGCTTCCGCGCGTGCTTCTTTCCGCACAGCGGAATGGTGGCGGGGGACTGGGAACCCGAGGACATGGCGGAGCGCGCGGAGCGCATCCACCGCCTGCGGAGCCGGCGGATGAAGGGGGCCGGGGAAGGGGGGGTGGCGGAGGAAGGGGCGGAAGATGCGCGACGGGAACCGGGGAGCGGGGAAGCTGGGGGGAGCTTGGGGAAATTGCCGTGGGAGGGGGGAGTAAGACAAGGCAACGGTAACAAGGACGAAGCAGATAGGAAAGAGCAGGGAACAGCTGTTGGCGGTGTAGATCCGAATAGCGGGGAAGCTGATATCGAGGATGACCAAGGCAGCGAGGAGGGCATGGCTCTAGATGATGAAATCCGCGAGCCAAGCTCGTTGATGGAAGCAATAGCGATTAGGCGGTCCCTGCAGCGAACGCAGGGTGGAGAGGACGCAGCGCGGGGAGAGGAGGACGCAGGGAGGGCTGACGGCGGCGAGAGGGAGAGGGGGGGAGAGCGGGAGGAAAAGTGGGGAGAGGGGGTGGAAGGAGAGAGTGGGGAAGGTGAGAGGGAGAGAGATGAGCGTGGAGGAAGGGGGATTCAGGGCTTGGGAATTCCAGGAGGCGAGAGAAGGGGGGAGGGTGTGGCGGAGGGAGAGCGAGAGGAGGTACGGGGAAGGGAGGGAGAGAGGGAGAAGGAAAGAGGAGGGCATGGAGAGGGGATTGTGTGCGAGAGGAGGAGGAGCAGGAGTGGCAGTGGGAGTGTGAGGAGCAGCCTGTGTAGCATAGATGAGGACGAGGGGGACACGGCTGATGGCAGCAGCACAGCTCTTACTGCTCACTCTCGAGATGTATTTTCCAGCCACCCTGCTGCAAGTAGCGCATCTGACAAAAACGAGTTTCCAGTGGCGAATAATACGCCTCACATGAACCGGGGAGGAACCAGGGGAGGGAAGGATGGGCAGGAAGGGATGGAAGGGCAGGTAGGGTCCGAAGTGCAGGAAGGGATGGAAGGGCAGGTGCGATCTGGGGCAGGGCGTATTGCAGGAGGACGGTTTCCAGATATGGCGGCATCCGGGCATATGCGGGGCCGAGGAGGCAGCGAAGGGGCCGAGCTTGTTGGCTTTTCACCTGGAAGATCACCTGGCGGATCACCTGGCGTGTCGCCTGCGTTTTCACCTGGGCACTCGCCCTCCCTGACCCCTACCCGATCACCCTTCCGCCCTCCCCGCCCGTCTCGGTCGTCGTCTCTCTCAGAAGGAAGGCTGGAAGTGAAGCAAGATGGTCGCTCAGGGAGCCCTGCTGCTGCTGCTGCTGCTGCTGCTGCTGCTGCCGCTGCTTCCTCCCCCCCCCAGGCATCCCTTTCAGCTTCCCATGACCAAACGAAGGCGTTCCCAACCTCAGCATCAGCATCGGGATCAGCATCGTTATCAGCATCGGCATCAGCGTCAGCGTCCGCATTGCTGTCACCATCCATGTCCCCATCGCGCCTCCTAGCAGCCATGCCGTCCCACCCCTCGCCAAACATCCCCGTGTCCAAGTCTGGATTTGATCTCCCCCCTGCCGCCCACTCTTGGGTACACGCCACCACCTCACACGCCTCCCCTCCTTCCTCCCGCTTCCAGCCTGGTCCTTCCATCACACAGCAACAGCAGCAGCAGCATCACCATCACCATTCCCAGTCACTTTTAGACGGGGCAAGCACCAATCTAGATGCCATGGTGACTGTAAGGAGGGTTCCCAGAGCCCCAGGGGGCAAGGGGGGTTGGAGGGAAGCTGCGGCTGCAGGGGGAGACGATTTCGGGCTCGGAGCCTTAGGAGGTTCGGCAGGAGCAGGTTCGGCAGGGGCAGGCTCGGGGCTCCGAGGCTCGGTTCTGCACTCCCGGTCGTTCCGAGGAGGTTCGGCCGGTGCTGCGATGGCAGCAGCTGCAGCAGCGGCAGCAGCGGCTGTAGCAGGCGGGGGTGGGACGACAGGGGCTAACAGCCCTCTGCTGCAGGCTAAGAGAAGGCTGGCGGGATCTAGTTCTATGAGAGGGAAGAGCTTAGCAGCACTGGACTTTGAACGGATGCTGGCGGGTGGGGGAGGTGAGAGGAGAGGGGCAGGTGATGGCTGCTGGTGGTGGTGCTGCTGGTGGTGGTGGCTTGGGTGGCGGTATGGGAGGGGGAGGGGATGGAGGGGGGGAGGATTCGGAGTGGGAAGGGCGACTGGAGCTTGAGGAGTGGGAGCGGACGAGCGGGATCGGAGTGAGGGGGATTGGAGAGAGGGAGGCGGGAGTGAGAAAGGATAAGCCAGGTGGTGAGGGGGTTGGGGAGGAGGGGGTTCGAACGCCACCAGGGGAAGCAGTGTTGCTTTCTGTTGAGGCTGGCCAATCAGCTCGTGACAGGGTGGATGGGGGACCCGGATGGGAGGTCCAGGTGGAAAGACGTGATGCAGGGAGTTTGCACGGGGGCGGGGGGAGTATGCACTTGGGAGGGGAGAATATGCAAGGAGGGGGGAATTTGCAAGAGGAAGAGGGGAGTTATGCAGAGCATGTGTCTGCTGCGTGTGAGGGGGGTGCTACTGCAGGCCGAGAGAGGGGCTCTTTTGAGGCGCCTCAGAAGTCGTCTGTTGCTTGTGAGGGGAGTACGAGTGGAGGTAGAGAGGGTGGAGGGGAGATGCAAGAGGTGGTGGAGGAAGAGGATGAAAAGAGTAGGGAGAGAAAGGAGAGGAGGGAGAGGAGGGAAAGGAGGGAAAGGGGGGAGAAAAAGGAGAAGGAGAGGAAAGAAAGGAGAGAGAAAGACGGAGAGAAGAGGGTTGATAGGGAATCCGCGACTGCAGGGATTCGAGAGGAAGAGGGAGGAGCAGGACAGGAAGTGGGGGGAGTGAGAGAGGGAGAGGGGGGAGTGAGGGAGGGAGAGGGGAGATTGGTGGGGGGGGAAACGGAGAGGGACGGGGACAGGAGTGCAGCGGTGCGTGTGTTAAGTGGTAGAAGTGATAGTGTGGGGAGCGGCAGTGTGATAAGTGACAGTATGAGAAGTGATACTATGAGAAGCGATGATATTATAAGAAGTGATTATAGTAAGAGACAAAATAGCATGAGAAGCGATAGTATGAGAAGCAGCAGCAGTGGGAAAGGTTTAAGGAAGAGCACGAGTATGAAGGTTGAGCTGGGTGCGATTAAGGTGGAAACAGAGAAGAGAGAGGAGAGAGAGAAGAGAGAGAAGAGAGAGAAGAGAGAGAAGAGAGAGAAGAGAGAAAAGAGAGAGAAGACCGAGAAGAAGCACAAGGGAAAGAAGAGCAGCAGTGGCGATGCTGCTGCTGCTATTAGCCCTAGCAGCAGCGTGTCAAGGTCTGTAGAGAGGACAGACAGTAACGCAGCAAGCTCTGTAACGAGGACAGAGAGCTCTGTAACGAGGACAGAGAGCAATGCGAGTACGAGCTTCGATACAGGGACTTGTGGCAGTATTAGCCCAATGGAGAGCCCTAGCAGCAGCTGGAAGGAGGGGAGTACCAGTGGGCGAGAGCTTCGGAGGGAGCTTGGAGGCAGTAGTAGTAGAGAGGTTGGTGGTGGTAGTAGGAGGGAGGTTGGCAGTACAGGGCAGCTTGTGAGTCCTAGCAGTAGTGATGGGAGACGGATGGGGAAGAGTAGTAGCAGGGGAACGGGGAAGGTTGTGAGTCCGAACAATAGTGGTGGGAGGAGGATAGGGAAGAACAGCAGCAGGGGAACGGGTGAGGGTGTGAGTCCGAGCAGTAGTGATGGGAGAAGGCTGGAGAAGAGCAGTAGTGATGGGAGAAGGCTGGAGAAGAGCAGTAGTGATGGGAGAAGGCTGGAGAAGAGCAGTAGTGATGGGAGAAGGCTGGAGAAGAGCAGTAGTGATGGGAGAAGGCTGGAGAAGAGCAGTAGTGATGGGAGAAGGCTGGAGAAGAGCAGTAGTGATGGGAGAAGGCTGGAGAAGAGCAGTAGTGATGGGAGAAGGCTGGAGAAGAGCAGTAGTGATGGGAGAAGGCTGGAGAAGAGCAGTAGTGATGGGAGAAGGCTGGAGAAGAGCAGTAGTGATGGGAGAAGGCTGGAGAAGAGCAGTAGCCGGCGGAATGGGGTTGTTGGTGAAGGGAGGGAGGAGGAGGGAGGAGGTGAGGTGTCGTCTAGGAGCAGGAAAGATGGCAGGAAGGAAGGGAGGAAGGAAGGGAGGAAGGAAGGGGAGAAGGAAGGGAGGAAGGAAGGGGAGAAGGAAGGGGAGAAGAGGGAGGGGAGGAGGGACGGGAAGGGGAAGGATGCGAAGGGGAACGAGAAGAGAGGGGAAGTGGAGAGAATGGAAGAGGAGAAAAGAGGAGGGAGGAAAGAAGAAGATACGGTTGAAGAGGGCAGAATTGAAGAGGATGGGATTCAAGAGGATAGGGGTGAGGAGGAAAGGAACGTAGAGGCAGAAGCATCAGAAGGTGTGATAGAGTGGACCAAGCAGGGGGTTGTGAAAGGGAGGGAGAAGAGGAGAGAGAAAGACAGAGAGAAAGCAGAGGAGGAGAGTGTAGCAGAGGGAACTTTTCCTCCTGCTGCTGCCATGCCTGGTTTGGCCCGGGATTTCACCATGGCTGACTTGGGCAATTCTGCTGAGATGTCACAACAGGGTGCTGCTGCTGCTGCTGCTGCTGTGGTGCCTGGGTTGGCTCGAGATTTCACCTTGGTAGATCTGGGCAAGCCTTTTGAGACAGCTGAAAATGGTGCTGCTGCTGTTATGCCTGGTTTGACTCGAGACTTCACCATGGCAGATTTGGGAAAGGTGGGGTCAACAGGGTCAACAGGGCCAACAGGGCCAACAGGGTCAACAGGGTCAGCAGCAGGGTCAACGGGGTCAACGGGGTCAACGGGGGTAGTGTTAGGGTCAATAGGGTCAGCAGTGATGTCAAAGGATTCTGCAGAAGCAGAAAGACCAGCAGAGACGCCAGGGTCAACAGGGTCAACGCAGGTCAACAGCACACAGGTCAGCAGCGGACAGGTCAGCAGCAGCACGGATGAGTTTGACTTTTCAAGCCGCCTTCTTGCACTGCGCGTCCCAGTGCGCCCCCTCTCCCCCATTCCCATGCTCCCCGCCCTATCCAACGCCTCAGCACCCCATTCTGACCGCTCAGAACCCCTCTCTACCGCCCCAGGGCTGTCTACCGTTCCAGGGCCTCTGTCTGGGCCCATGGGAGATTTGCCTCTTGAAGGTGGCAAGGGAAAGGAGGAGAAACGGAGGGGGGAGGAGGAGAGAAGGGAAGAGCAGGGCGAACGAGGGGCGGGTGAGGAGGGACTGAGAGGAGGAGTCGTTTTGCAAGGAAGGCCAGAGGTGGAAAGGGAGGAGGAGGCGGAGGGGAAGGTAAGGGAGGAGGAGGGGGCGGTTTCGCAGCTTGTGTTCAGGGGCAAGAGGATCCGAGTGAGGGGTGGTGAGCATGAGCAGTGCGGTGCTCACAGTGGCCGGGAGGAGGGGCAGGCAGAGCGGCAGGGCGAGCAGACTCGTGAGGCACCTGGAAAGCAGGCAGAGCAGGGCAGGCAGGATGGGCAGGGCGGCCCTTTGAAAGGCGGCCTCGAAGCCCCTCAACACGATCCCGCACTGCCACCTCTCAATGCGGTTCACACCACCGGTCGCCCCACCAGCTCCGGCTTTCAGTTCCGCCCTCTTGTCCTCTCAGCCCCCTCAGATTCCCCAGGTCCCTCAGGCCCTTCTGGCCCCTTGGGGTTTTCAGGCTTCTCAGCCTCCCAGCGCTCTGCCCCCCCCACACCCTTTGGCTTTCCCGGCACCAGCGGCAGCAGCGACGGCGGCGGCGGCAGTGGTGCTGGTAATGTTGGGGGAGACGGGCACGGGCAGGACCGGGATTTTGGGCCTGCAGGTGCAGGTGGGATTCTAGCAGGGGGTGCTGCAGGAAGCAGCATTGACTGGCAGTGTGGGCGGGAGTTTGGGCCGATAGGGGCTGCGAGGGTGAGGGCTCAGCGGTGCCGAGAGCACTGGACGCTGCTGTTCATGGATCTGCTCGATCTCATGCTCAAACGGACGGCTGGAGATGAGTCTGTGGACGATGAGGGGGATTTGGCGGTGAATCGGACGGCTGGGGATGGGTGTGTGGGTGGGGGGGGTGCCGGTGGTGGTGTAGGGTGGGGGCATGAGGAGGGGAAGCGATGGGAGGGGGGTCAGGATGAGTGGGTGACTGAAGATGTTTATAAAGGGTATACGTGGGGTGAGGAAGGGGAGGAGGGTAGAGAGGAGGTGTATAGGGAAGGTGGGTTCAGTCTGGCTCGGATGAGGCCGGATAGCTTCGGCGGCAGCAACGGCAGGCTCGGCAGCAGCAGCAGCGGGAGACTCGGGTCGATGGTCCGAGCCTCATCGTCAGCTGCGGCGCACCGGGACTTTGAATGGATCTGCGAGAAGTTCCGAACCGCAACGGAGCTCTCTGATAGGCTGAAAGAGCGCCACATCAGCGAGGCGTTTACTGTAGCACTGGCTGTGTGGCTGAGGTTCTGGGAACAGTGGGAGGATGGGCCTCCGGATTGGGCAGAGGAGGAGGATGAGGGGGAGGTTCTGCTGGAGGAAGGAGAGGAGGGGGAGGGGGAGGGGGAGGGGGAGGGGGAGGGGGAGGAGCATATGGAAAGAATCCCCTCAGGTGCTTGGCTGAGTAGTGAGGGAAGGGGAGGAGGATGGGGAGAGGGAGGGGGGGGGGAGGGGGGAGTATAGGGAGGCAGAGGTCGCTGGGTTGGGTTGATGAGGATGGGACTGGGGTAGGCTCGCCCGAACCTTGGGCTCGAAGAGACAGCTTCGGGCGAGTGATCCGAACCAACAGCATCAACCGAACCAACAGCATTAACCGAACCAAGAGCATCAAACGAACCAACAGCATTAACCGAAGCTTCAGCCGAACCAGCAGCCGGGGGGGTCTCACAACCACCCGAGTGAACAGCAGAGGGAGCAGCCTCCGTGAGGGGGAGAGCATGAGGGAGAGGGGAGGGTTGCTGCGCCTGTCCTCTACTATCTCCTCCACCACTGCCCCTGAACTAGCAGACCTAGCAGGGTTGGGATTCGCGCGTATACAAGACGAATTGGCTGAAGCTGCTGGGATGCTGGCAGGCGTGGGGCCGGGGTCTGCCTTTGAGTCGACTCAAAAGCTGGCAGGCGTGGGGCCGGGGTCTGGGAGACGGGAGGAGGCGGGTGGGGAGGATGAGGCGGGGAGAAGTGGTGTGGAGGGTGGGAGGGAGGAAGGGAGGCGGAAGGGGGGAACGAGTGGTGGTGAGTTGGCTGGGCCTGTTTCCAGGCCCCAACGGTGGCTGAGCATGGAAGCTGCTGCTGCTGCTGCTGCTGCCGGTGCCTATGGCAGTGGAATCGGGGGCAGAGGGGCGGGAGAGCGTGAGGGGGACGAGGAGGAGGAGCAGGAGGGGGCGTATGGGAAGGCGCTAACAACAGCAGCAGTAGAAGGGGGGAGTGGGCGTCTGGCTTATGCAGGCGAAGGGAGGGGGCGAGGGGCGGGCAGAGGCAGAGGCGGGGAGGAGGGGGTGGGGAGAGGGGCAGAGGGGCGGCCTGTGTTGGCAGCACCTGCAGCAGCAGCGGCGGTGCGTGTGTTTGTGTGGGATCCCGAGGGCAGCATTCAGGAGCAGCTGGTCACCATGGCTCTCTGCTCGGACCTGCGTGCTGCTGTCCCTGCTCTCCCTGCTGCTGCTGCCGCTGTTCCTGCTGCCGGTGCCAGTGATGCTGGTGCTGATGGGGGTGGTGTTGATTTCTCCCAAGGAGCTGCTGCCGCACCAGTAGGAGCAGGAGACGCAATCCCAGCAGCACCACCAGCAGCTGCACCACCTCCAGCGGAGCGGGGATACACAGACCAGTTCCTGGCCTTGCGCTGCCACCACGACAACATACTCGTTTTTGTCGGCCTCGCTGCAGCAGTCAGCGTGTGGCGCCCCGCTACAGCCGCGCTCATTCTGCTCCGCCTGCTCGACCGCATTGCCTTCTTCGAGCTACAGCTGGAGCGCCAGCAGGCTGTAGCAGCAGCTGTAGCAGCAACCGCAGCTGCTGGTGCTGCCGGTGGTGGTGCGGGTTATCAGAGGCTAGGCTCAGCTAGGGGAGGAAATACAGCTGCTGTGGGGGGGGGGATGGGGAGTGTGAGGGGCTCACCCCGTGCCGCTGCGCCCGTGTCACGCTCCTTTGCACCTATCGGTCACAACCGCACACCAAGCATGCAGCTAATGCAGCAGCAGCAGCTGATGCTTCTCCAGTTCAACCCAGAAGCAGACGAGCCTCTTTCTCACAAGTCCACCGCTCTGCACCTCTCACACCGGCCCCCCACATTGGGCACCACGTCCGGGAGAGGCTCGGAGAGTTCCGAAGCTGCGGGCGCAATCAGCAGCAGCAGCAACGGCACCACCACCACCACCACCATCACCACCACCACCGCTAGCAGGAGCAGCAGCAGCATGAGTGGGGGCAGCAGGTCATGGGCGCCTTTACTGGGCGCTCATCTGCCGGCCTGCCGGGCGTTTGTAGTGTCGTGCCTGTCTGCCGTCCTGACTGCCTGTAGCGAGCGGTCCGCTGCGGCTGTAGCGGCCTCCACCCCTGCTGTGCAGCGGCTGATGCTGTGGCAGGGCGGGGAGGGGGATGGGCCGCTGGAGGAGGGTGAGGAAGGCGAGGAGGAGGAGGGTGAGGAGGAGGGGAGGGAAGACGGAGGGGAGGAGGAAGGGATGGAGAGGCAGGGAAGGAGGAGGGCTGGCGGAGCTGCGAGCAAGGTGCAGCAGAGAGGGGGATGGACCATGCCAAGTCTGGATTCCGGTGTGGCTACTTCCGAAGCTGCTGCTTGCGGTGTTGCTGCTACGCGCTCTCCAGCTCATCCCAACCGCCCTCCCTCCCGCTCCTACTCCCACTCCCCGCTCTCCCACTCCCCGCTCTCCTCAACCCACACCCCTCGTAGACCCCAGGTCTGGGAACCCATGTCTCTAGCAGCTATGGCAGAGGTAGCACTAGCAGAAGGGCTTGCTGCAGCCACACACTCGAGCCTGGAGGAACGGTGCGAGGAGCAGGATCGGCTGTACCTGCAGCTCAGCCTCGGCCCGGGCCTGTTGGGGATGACCCTGGCGGCTACAATGAGGGAACTTGAGCATATACACCCGGACGACAGCATGGCAATTGCGAGTCTAGCCCAGGAATTAGGGTTAGACGAGGCGGCGTTTCACGCTGCTCTGAGGGCTGTCTCCAGTGGGAGGCTCAAGGCTGCTGGGTTCGATCGGGTGATCGGGATGGTGTTTACCGGCCGAGGGGTTGAGTCGGTTACAATGCGGTTTGCAAGGCTGGCTGCTGCGGTGAAAACGGCCCAGTTCTGGGGGACTGGGGTAGGGCCTGGGGCGGGAGAGGGGGGTCATCACTCACCCCTGTCCTCACCTAATACAGGAGGGAGGAGTGTTGGGGGAGTAGGGCAAGGGGGGAGGAGCGCAGGAGCAAGCAGTAGTAGAGGTGGGGTGGCAGGCTCAGATGCTCCCTTCAAGCCAGATCCGAATATCACCTCCCCTGGAGCAGCAGCAGCAGCAGCCAAAGCTGTTGCCTCCGATCCTCTCTCCCCCTCTTCCACTTCCTCTCCTGCTCTCTCTGCTTCCACCGCTCCTTCGGCCTCCCCTCCCCGTCCCTCTCCGCGGCTGCTCCTGGCTGGGCTGCTGCTGCCTTTGCAGTTGCCTCTAGTTGGGGCTCTGCCCTTGCCTCCCAGGCCAGTGCCGGAGCTGCAGCCGCGGCAGCAGGTTCGGGGAAAGGCTCGGCGGCAGGGTCGGTGGGTGGGTTGTGGGCGGCTGGCAGAGCAAGTGCTCCTGGGGTTGGTGTTGGCGCAGACGGTGCGTCAGGTGGTTCTTCAGGTGGTGTTTCAGGTGGTCCTTCAGGTGGTGCCTCAGGTGGTTCTTCAGATGCTGGCAACAATGCTGATGCTTCTGGTTCCGGTACTAGTGGTAGTGGTGCTGAACATTTAGCACGAGATGGGAGGAGGAGGGGAGGGAGTGAAGGGGAGGTGGGGGCATGGCTGAGTGAAAAGGCAGCAGATGACAGACAGGAGGATGGGGAGGTGGGGTCTGGTGCGGGTAGAACCAAGCCAGGGCACACCCGGGGCAGGAGTGACATACCTACGCTGTGGCTGGGGGGAGGGAGGGGCATCAGCGGCAGTGATGCCATTTCTTCCCCCTCTGCTGCTGCCGCTGCTGCTACAGCAGGAGGAGGGGTGCGGGGGTGGGCTGGAGGGTTTTTCTCCAGCACCCCCCATGGGAGCCCGAGAGGTGCTGCTGGTGCTGGTGCTGGCGGTAATGGTGGTGGTGGTGGCGGTGCTGGTGCTGGTGCTGGTGCAGCAGGAAATTGGGGGGGAGTTGCTGGGATGGGCCTGGGAGGGGGACTAGGAGGGGGGATGGGAAGTGGATTGGGTAAGTCTGGGACTGGCACGGGCAGTAAGCCATCGAGTGCAGTGTTCTTAACACCGCGCACCTCCCAGCAGAACTCGTATGTGGCGGAGTTTGTGGATGCGATGCTGAGGAGCGAGGTGATGAGGAGGCAGCACCCGTGGGCGTATGAGCTGCTGCTCAACTTCCTCAGGATCAACAGCAGAGGGGCTCCTATGGAAGAACGAGAACTGAACCTTTGCGCTCAGGTGGGTAGCTACAAGTGGGTAGTTGTAGATGGGTCTGGTGTGGTGTAGGGATGAGCAGAGGGCGAACTCGAACATGTTCGGGTTCGCCCCCTGTCGAACATCGCGAACTACCGAACCGAACAGTGTTCGGTTCGGCAAACGATTTGGGCGGAAACAGGTGTTCGGCGTTCGCCCTTGGGGGCGAACGAATTTTTGCAGCAGGCGAACTCGAACATGTTCGAGCTCGCCAATGGGCAAATTTGCTTTAGTCACAGAGGTCAGAAAGGGGATTTGAAGGGTCAGGATGGTACAAAAGGGGTTTGCAGGGTGTATAAGTGTTCATGCAACGTACCCAGAACTACAACACCATCATGTGTAGCGCGATCCTAAACGTGTTCCCTCCTACTTGTGGGTGTAGGAAATGCCCGTCCCTACAACTAGAGCTTTGACCGCTTGGTGCTTGATCCCTATGCTACTCTATCTTAAGGTTAACGAAAACACACTATACTACGGACTAACATTGATGAAATGTCCGTGTAGATGTTTAGGAACGGTGTGCGAGGCTATTAAAAGCATGGGGCTATGGCGGTTGTGTGTGGGGTGGCTAAGCGCTAAAGGCGTTTTGAGTTTGAGCTCACGAAATGAGCTCAAACTCAAAACGGGTGCGACCTAAATTTGGTCGCGGCCAATTTTGACGCGAACACTTTGGTGTTCGCGGGGCCCCCAATTCGAACACGAACGCGTTCGTGTTCGAATACCCCTCGCCAGAAGGCATTGGCGAACGGCGAACATGTTCGGCCGAACACCGAACATGTTCGCCCCGAACGATTTGGGCAAAAAAAATTGTCTGTTCGGTTTGCCTCGAACATGTTCGAGGTGAACCGAACAGGTGTTCGGGAATTTGCTCAACCCTAGTGTGGTGTGGTGTAGCTGGGTGTGTGGTGTGGTGGGCTAGAGTGCATGGTAGTCCCGTGGGATGCGATGCTGAGGAGTGAGGTGATGATAAGGCAGCACCCGTGGGCGTACGAGCTGCTGCTCAACTTCCTCAGGATCAACAACAGAGGGGCTCCTATGAAAGAACGAGAACTGAACCTTTGCGCTCAGGTGCGTTGTGGTATGGTGTGGTGTGGTGTGGTGTGGTGCTATGTTGCACTATACGCTGAGGCCTTTTTCCGTATCACGTTTATGCGTTCACGTATAAACGGAAAAACGTGATACGGGGACAAATACGTGGTACGCCTGGATGGGCAGCCCGTCGAAAAAAAAAAAAAATTCTGTTCCGACCGTTCTTGCGATTTGTGATTCTCCGTAACCCAAGGGCGTGGAAGATCCATACGAACAAGTGTTTGGTCGCTTGTTTTGTCGAACATTGGGTGTCGCGACAGCTCTTTGAAGCTCAATTTCGAGGGTTGCGAGAAGGGTTACTTTCGCGATTGGGCGACCAACGCCTTGTTCATAGGGATATTCCATGCTCTAATTTGACGTTTGAAAGTCGAATGCCTTCCCCCGCACCCATCCCCCTCTTCCACCGCGCATAACCTCACACCACCTCCCAAACCCAACCCTTCCCTTCCAACCACACTCTGGCTTTCACGTCGGCAGCTTCGAAAACCTATGTCGACTCCTAAGGGCGCGTGTGATCGGTGGAATTTGTGAAAGTTTACATTTTAAGGGCGAGTTGTGCTACATGAACATATGTCGAACCAAACTCGACTTTCATTGTATCGGGGTTCGCACATCTGGACCACAACACTGCAGAAAAGCACACACATATACAAGGTCGAGTGCGCGTATTCGAACTTGTAAAAACGCACCGAACCGCATTTCTACAAAGTAGGTTACCCGGTTCTACAAAGTAGGTTACCCGATTCTCGCCACGTGGCCTCCATTCAGTACACGAAGGCTGTGGTGAGTTCGTTGTTGTACTGTTGCTACTCGTGAGTCGCTCGCACATTTCGCCAGATGCTCGAACGTGCGGGAAATCACACACGTGAATGTGAACATGCCGAAGCACGTTCACAACTAAAACTCGAGTCTTGTTCAAGTTTGCAGTTCGCATGTTGCCAAACCCAAAGTTGACGAAGTTTCGCTCGTAGCTTTATGCGATATTGGCAAAACGGGTAACCACACAAAGTTCGCACTTTTTTTTGAATTTCAAATCCGACCTCACACGCCCTAATGTCGCAGCTGGACGCAAGTAGGCAGACAGAGGGGTGCAGATCAGGCATTCCGGCGCCAGATCCGCACGATTCTAGTATTCCGCCAGCAGATCGGCGCAAATCGGCAAGAAACATTGAATATAGGGACCATCACTCACTCCTTGACACTTTTTTCCCCTGCCAAGAACTTTTTTTCCCCTGCCCGGGACACTGTATTTTGAGCGTATCGAGGGGGCGTAAATCCATCGTACGACGTTCGTACGTTGGCGTATAGTACGAACGTGACTGGTACGCCAGTCGTGTATATTGCAACATAGGTGTGGTGTGGTGTGGGATGAGAACTAATGGCGAGTGGTTGGGAAGGCGGAGCAGCACGCGTGGGCGTATGAGCTGCTGCTCGACTTGCTGCAAATCAACAGCAAGGAGGCTCCCATGGAACCTTCTCACCCCCATCTGCCTCTTCTCTCCTTGCGTGTTTTGACACGTCTCTCCTGCTCCCGTACCCCTCTTCCTTGTTGACTGCTATTTGGGATCTTTAGGCTCTTGTCACGCTTTTAAATCACACTAGGTACTCGCTACGGGGTCACCTCCAAGGGTCCTTGGGTGCCTGGCAGAGCCAGCCCCTATCCAAGGGTCCGTGTTTGTAGAGGGAATTCCCTAAGTGCCAAAATAATCGTGTGTACTAGAGCGTTCCCAACATTCGGTGCGCAACGTTGACGACGAAACGGGCTCGTGTGCAGAATAGCTCTTCACGTCAATACGTTGATAGAGCCGGTAACTCGTGAGAGAGATTCAGAAAATATTTCCACTAGAAAGGATTGTCACAAACAAGCGCAGGCAAGCATTTTATATTTCGTCTAAGACACAAGCAGAGGGAAATAGCAAAGCAGTTGTCAAACTGAATTTCGGATCTTCGCCATGTTGTACTAGGAAACGGTTGCTCAACTTCTTGGGCTTTTGTCTTCTTCCCCTCTTGTAAAAAACCTGTCTTCTAAATTTACTTAGGACAATTGCCCCTGCTGACTCTTCACATGAACACTCATTGCTCCCATGTGCCTCCGATGTGACTCACATAAGTTTCATGCGAGTTTACAGTTATAAAACAGAGTTAACCGTTATCTGACGCGAGTAACCGAATTGTACCTGTGGTGAAATAATTCCGCTATGCGGTGTGACTTTCGCGAGAAATTACTTGTCCCACAAGTCAACGCGAAATACAGTTTTTCAACTGTAATTCCCGAGCACCCTTCACAACCTCGCAGCACCCTCTCGAAACACACGCGCACTCCTCAGGTGCGCAATCATGCATGACCAGACAGACTGGTCGTGTTGTACAGCGCTAAGACGTGCGCTGTACTGCGCGTGGGCAGGGCGATCATTCGCCCTGTCCTGTTGCGATCGTGGGCCCTGCCACGCTCGCAACAGTTCGCGAGCACACGCTCGAGCCCTGAGGGCCCACACGCGAAATCAGGACCACACGCGCGGTCAAGATTTCGCGTGCTTGACCAGCGCGAATGTCAACAGCACCCCCTTGACTAGTCAAACTATTGAACCCCATAGTAACACCCCACGGTACACCACTCGCTCGCATGAGCCACGCATGAAACATTGCAGACAAATGGCACTTTCATGGGAAGCTTATTTCGGCCTCATTGGAGCTTCATGAAAGCTTTCAATTAAGCTTTTTTGAGAGCTTCATTTGAGCGCGTCATGGGAGCCTCATTTGAGCGCATCATGTGAGCCTCATTTGAGTGCTTTACGAGAACAGTGAAAACGCAAATTGCACTAACACAAAATGTAATTACGGATGAAAACGAAACACACAAAATGCAAAAACAAATGCGCACCAAACACACACAAAAATGCGCACACAAAATGCAAAGTGAAATGCACATAACAAAATTACCTTCACATAACAACACCCCTTTTCCCTTCACTGTCGTTGGATAGTCGGTAGGTTGACGTGCAAATTAAGTATTTGCACCCAACACTCCTCCCATGCTCACCTGCAGGCGCTGCTGGCCAAGTGGCTGCGGGAGGTTGGGGTGGGGGGGATTCGCTACCATGGTGAATGGCAACAACTCTCATCTCACTCTTACCTCACCCCACCCGCTCTCTTCTCTCTATCTGCTTCTTCTGTGTCGCAGGTGCTGCTCACCAAGTGGTTGGGCGAGGGGGAGGTGGGGGAGATGGAGCAGCGAGCAGTCTCGAAAATAGAAGGCATGGACAACCCAGGCGTGCAGGTGGGGTGGCCCTTGTGGGTGCGCGTGGGGCGCCTCGTGGAGCGCCAGTACAACCTGCCCCGCCTGCTGGTGCTGCTATGAGCATGCTTCTCACTCTCTCCTGCTCCCTTTCATTTCTCCCCCCACTCCTGTGCCCTCTCAGGTGCTACTCACCAAGTGGTTGGGCGAGGGGGAGGTGCAGGAGATGGAGGAGCGAGCAGTCATCAAAATAGAAGGAATGGACGACCCGGGCGTGCAGGTGGGGTGGCCCATGTGGGTGCGCGTGGGGCGCCTCGTTGAGCGCCAGTACGACCTGCCCCGCCTGCTGCGCGCCATGCAGAGCCTCTCCATCTGGTTCAACTACGATGTGAGTCTGCTTATAACGGGGATGGGTGGGTTGGTGGCCTGGGATGGATGGGTGCATGGCGCCATGCAGAGCCTCTCCATCTGGTTCAACTATGACGTGAGTGAGACCACTTATATGAGGGATAAAAGGGTGGGAGAGAGGAGGGGTGATTGGGTTTGGGGTTGGTGGGTTGGGGTGAGTGGGTGGGTGGCGCCATGCAGAGCCTCTCCATCTAGTTCAGCTACGATGTGAGGCGCCTCGTAAAGAGGATGGATTGGTGGGGGAGTGGTGGGGAAATTGGGTGTGGGGTGGGTGGGTTGGGATGGGTGGGTGGCGCCATGCAGAGCCCTCATCATCTGATTAAATCACGATATGTGGCAGCTTGTATGGGGAATGGGTGGATGGGGCTTGTATGTGAATCCGGCCTCTCCATCTGCTACTATGGGGGATGCAACGATTTGGTCCAAGCAGTTGGACAGAGCATGGTTAATTGATTTGACTTCCCAAGTGCAGCAACACCACCATTTCGTCTGCCATCGAATGACGCACGGCCCTCCTCCCTCTCGCCTCCCTTGCCCTCCCTCCTCCCTCTCGCCTCCCTTGCCCTCCCTCCTTCTCCCTCTCACTCTCTCCTCACCGCCCGCTCCCCAACAACTCCCACCTCCTCCCCCCCCCCCCCCCCCCCAATCATCGGAACCGCAACCAACCCCCCATTTCGTTCTCCCATTGTGCCACCCGCACTGGCTCGGCCTCTCCTTGCACTCCCTACCTCCACTCCACACCGCAGGAACTGGAGGAGGACGGCACGTGCAGCAGTGCCACCGTCTCGTCTGTCTTTGACTGGGGCCTGGCCGGCCTGCTACAGGACCTGCCGCCCGGAGACGACGCCGCCCAGTCGCTGCTCGACATCCTCGATCCAGAAGATGACGAATGGATCGACGTCTCGCTCGCCGTTGCCGCCCGGATGGCCCTGCCGACCGGCAACTGGTGGCCAGTGCAGGGCGGCGGAGGGGTGGCGGGGTTCGTTGCCAAGCTGCTGTCACTCATAGAAGAGTGTGAGTTTCATTCGTTCTTTGCGTTAGGATTTTATTTATTTATTTATTTAATTTTATTTCTGCGGGTAGTGCTGTGCTGGTGCCGTGGAGTGGTGCATGCAGTGCGGCATGATGCAAGTGGCTGGCTGTTGCCAAACTGCTCTCTCTCTTCCCTCTCTCTCATCTCTCTCTCCCTCGCGCCCTCCCCCGCTCCCGCCCCCCTTTGCTGTACAGGTGGTGAGCAGCAGAGCAGAGCAGGGCAGGGCAGGGCAGGTGCGCTGCTGTCCTTTCCCACCCCACACACCCTCTCACCCAAGAAATCCGCCCTTCTCCCTCTCGCTCCCCACCCACCCACCCACCCTCACTGACAGGTGGGGAACCAACACCTCAGCAGCAGAGCAGGGTGGTGCAGGTGGCGTTGCTGCACTGCATGGGTGAATTGAAGTCTCCCTTCCCCTCACTCACTTGCCCTCTCACCCAGCAAAACCCCCGTTCTTCTCCCACTCACTCTCCGCACCCCTGTTGAACAGGCGGCGAGCCCACCCCCCAGCAGCAGAGCAGGGCTGTGAAGGTGGCGCTGAGGCTGTGGAGCTGGGCTATGCCCAAGAGGGAGCAGCTGCAGGAGCAGTGCGAGGTGAGGAGCGGTGGAATGGGGTGGGATGTACTGGGTGGGATGGGGTGGGTTTGGGTGGGTTGTGGGTGCACTGGGCATGTGTTAAAATGGGTGGATTGAGGTGTGGGTGCATCAGTTGAGGGGTGGGATAGTGTGCGGGGCGGGCCGCGGGGGCACTAGCATGTGAAGCAAGTGAAGCATGTGAAGCATGTGAAGCAAGTGAAGCATGTGAAGCATGTGAAGCATGTGAAGCAAGTGAAGCATGTGAAGCATGTGAAGCATGTGAAGCATGTGAAGCATGTGAAGCATGTGAAGCAAGTGCCTAGCATATGAGTGGGCGAGGGATGCAGGCAGGCGGCTATCAGGCTGTCGCTCCAGGCGATGCCGAAGCGGGAGCAGTACTAGGTGAGGAGGGGTGAATTGTGGTGATGATGGGTGCGGGAAAACCTCGTGAGGAGGGGGTGGTTTCTTGTAAGGCTACCATCAGTGCTGCAACTGGCCGGCTCTCTGCTTCACCAGCATTTCACTCTCATTTAATAATCAGTCACAGTCTCACTCTGACCATAAGCCTTACCACTGAATATTAGGCTTATATCGTCCTCACCTGTATCCTGGTTGTGAAACGCCTTTGTTCTGACCACTTCTGCCCCATGCTGCTCGGTGCTGCGATGTGCTGCTCTGTGTTGTGCGGTTCTGTGCGGTGCTGTGGTTGCCCGTACATCAGACGGGGAGGAGCTGATGGAGGTGTGGCAGCTCTCTGCATACAAAGTCATTGCTGTTCTCTTTGCGTCCCTGCGCTACTCTGTGCTGCGCTGCTCTATGCTGCTCTGTGCTGCCTTGCGCTGTGCTGTGGTCCCCGCTCATCAGACGGAGGAGGAGCTGATGGAGGTGTGGCAGCGCTCTGCCTCGGCCATCTGGCGATCCGTGGCGTGTGGAGGTATGCTGCTAGGGCTGGGGGTTTGGGGGAGAGGTTTGGCACTAGTGGTTTGTGAGGTGTGGCAGCGCTCCGCGTCAGCCATCTGGCGATCCGTGGCATGTGGAGGTGCGCTGCTAGTGGTCAATGTTTGCGGGGACGCAGGGCTCGTGCGGTTTCAATCAGGTTGGATGGGGGGGCTAGTAGTCTCGAGTGTCTAAAGAGGTGTGGCAGCGCTCTGCCTTGGCCATCTGGCGATCCGTGGCGTGTGGAGGTACGCTGCTAGTGCTGGCAGCTGGGTAAAGTGCTAGCGCTTGGGGGAAGGAGCGGCACTAGTGTTGGAATTTGAGGGTTGGGCTCTAGTGGTTGTGAGGTTTGGCTCTAGTGGTTGTGAGGTTTGGCAGCGGTCTGCCTCGGCCGTCTGGCAATCCGTGGCATGTGGAGGTATGTGGATAGTGGTTACAGTTTTTCGGGAAGATAGGGTGCTAGGGGTTACCCTCAAGTTCTCCTTTCAATTCCCCCTCTGATATCTCCATTTCAATTCTCCTTTACAACCCCCTTCCAAACCATCCTATCAATTCTCCCTTTTAAAACACACATTTAACTCCCCCCTTATCAATTCTCCCTTCCAGAACCCCATTTCAACTCTTTCCACTCCCATTTCACCTCAACCTTTCTCTTCCCCCCTTCCCAATCCCCATCTCTCTCAACCCCCCTTTCCCCTCAGAAATGGCTCCAGAGCCTTGAGCCTGGGCCCTTATCTCCACTAAACTCAACTTAATTCTCTAACACTGGGACAGTGCTGCACTGGGAGAGGTGATTATATAATGCCAGGAACGTCTTTTGAGACCTCTTGAAAGGCCGCCACTAGGCTCAACGTGCCCTGTTGAACAGTGCCAGATGGTTGCACTGCAAGAAATAACTATTAGTGGCGGCTGGGTTTTGGACAAGGTGACAGGACCTACTTTGAGGTAGGCTGGATTGTTTCTATGAGGGTTGGTTACCTCGCCAGCACTTGCAGTGCAGCGCAGCAGCGATTCAGCATTCTCACAGCAATCCATTGTATTTTCATTATACATTTCCGTCTTGTGATTTGCAATCTCCAACTAGACCTACCATAGTAAACTTTTATTAGATTCTTACTCTTGACATACGGTAATTGGCACTTCTTTTATATGAAGGTACACCACAGTGCAACAAATTGTCCTCGTTGTTCGCCTCGCAATTTTTACTCTCGTCACCACCACGCTTGCGCCATCGAACGACCACCGCTCCAATTCTAATTAGTAGCTGTTCCATTGTTGTTTCTGGGATTCGTTTCTATGCTTGTTAGTACGTTCACATCGAACTCGAACCTAGCCTTTGGGCTCTCGCGCCGGCCCAACAGGAGTAGAAAAAAAACTAACGAATAGATGAATAAAATTACAGGCCTAAAGTTGCCTACGTATGTGCAATGCAAAACCCTGCTTGATCGGGTTCCCGACAACGCAGATTCGTCTAATCTCGAGTCTTCCGCTGGACCACCGTTCCACTCACTCCCGACGCGATGTCCCTTCCCAAGAAATCGGATAACGTCACCCGTCCCATTTCGAAAAGAAAAGATGGTTGGGATAAAGCGTGGCAGAAGGATCGGTTAAAGCCGAACTCGTGCAGATCCAGGGGCCGTCTTCAAGACACAAAAATTGAACCGGCAAAAACCTACCCCAAGGTTTCCTCCAGGTTACCCCGCTGTAGGTAACCCAAAGGATTCAGTATAGGATTCCGCGAGGTTACCTCAAAGTTCGTGGTGACCCCGAGGTTACCCACATGAGGTGACCTGCGGGAAACCGCGAAGCTACTGCAAGGAAACCTCTCCCAGATTCCTGGAACGAATCATGCGCGACCTTGGTACGCGCTGTGAGACTGTTCGCGACCAGCAAATCATACAGTACACTAAATTATTTCTCGTTGTCATATAATAATGTAATTAGGGTCATTTTGACTCATTTTAATCGCTGATAGTATTGATGCTATTTCATAAAGCCTGTTTCCATCGTCTAAGACTCATTTCCTGTATATGCTAAATATACCAAATAAAGAGTGCGCCATATAAAGATGCCCGTACACGATTCATAACAATGATGAATACATTCAAAACACAATGTTAGGACTTACACCACCGTGCAAGTGTGCAAAAGACAAACTATGACTGCACAGAGTAAGTTTCAGATCAAATAGAGATGCAAATATCTTTGAAAATAACACTTCTTCAGAATCAGGTCGTTGATTCATAGTTGTCAGCTTACACATTCACTGAGAAAAGATGGAAGCAGCGATTGCTCTTCAATCTACTATCTGTCACACCTGAGTAGTGAACACAACACAGAATGGGAACATGTCAAGACCCAGACGGACTGGGAAACACTAGTGCGAAATTACAGCTGTCTATTACCGAGTGGCGAACGTGCTTACCAGGCGAAGAGAATCTGGCAGCTAGGAGGCTCGGTGAACTAGCGCCTGCAAAATCAAGGCGCAAATTAAGACGCAAGGGCATCGGATTGCAGTGAAACATACAATGACAATAAGAAAGCAAGAGCAAACTGGGTGGCTGACAAAGAGAAATGTGGCTTCAACCTGCGAAACAGGATGACGACATGATGCCAAAGAGAACGAGCGGCGCTCATCCAGAAACTCCAGGGGACATAAATCATAAATTATCACATCACGGTCATATCGCTTACCTCACGACCGCTACTAAGAGCCTCGCCGCGACAACGAGATCTACGGCAGTACGTGATGGCGGCACAAACCCTGGCATCGCTTCCGCCATCGGTAATCTGCCATAAAGAAACAATCATCAGAGAATATAGAAATTACTCGTTATTCGACTTCGGCAATACCGGAAACCCTATGAAGTCCATGGTAAAATACTGGAAATTTAAAGGATCCTAGTCATAGAGCGTGCACGGACAGCTTTCTGACAACTAAGCTCCAAGTAGCGACGATCGCGGAGCTATGACGCCATGGCGAGTTGGAAAAAGCGTGAGATGGATGATTCAACAACTGAATCAGAGCAACTGTTAGAACCACTGAAATACACTTCGACGCATCACCAAAAGGATCTGCGGTGCAGAAGTGACGTGGAAGGATTTGATTGGTGACAGTTATTCTGCCTGCTTCTCAGCGAAACTTATCAGAATACAACGCGATATGGTGAGGCGCGTTAACCAATCTCATCATTCAGCAGTGCTGCTAGAACTTACACTATTATCGAAACCTGCTGCGGGTCAGCTTCGGTTTCCGAAACAGTGCGACCAAGCCAGTGGACTAGCCTCGTTCCGAGGCAGTGGGGTTTCCTTGAGGTAACCTCGAAACTCTCCTGCATCCTGATTGGTCAATTTGTTTTCTCGATAGTAAACGACATTCTCGTGAATTTCGCTTGATATCGTTGTTGCCCTCATGTTTCCTGTTGGGTTCTTGAGGGTAACCTCGCGTGCGATGCGTTGAGGTATCCCACGATTTCGAGCCAATTTCGGCAGTTGAATTTTTGGGATGTTGTCGCCAAATGTCCCGCGTTTAGGCCATCCGATGGAAAGCGGTCGCAAGTCGCGCATGCACACCTCAAGCCCCTCATGTCAAACATTGCATGTTTATATTGTCTAGGCTGTAGTGGGTTACACCTTAGGGGGTACACAAAGTTAGGGTTTCCTACTTGTACCAAACTCTGTTCTAGTTCATTCATTCCTGCTCAGTTATTTCTGACATGGTTTCAGAGCAGGTCCTTCACTAGGACTGTTCTTAGGGCCCACCGACTTACCTACCTGCTTACCTTCGCTTGTTTCCGGCCCCGCTGGCCCCGTCGATCTAGCACGATCTAGCGGCCCTGCGGCCCCGTCGAAATTTTTTTTTTTTCCTAGCGGCCTCTCACGGCCCCCGTCGCGTCGCCCCTTAGCGCCCCGATCGGCCCCGTCACGCCGCCCGCGAACCGCACAGCGCGCCGCGCTCACAGCCCGCGAACCGCCCGCGCACAGCCCGCGACCCGCCTGCGCAGCCCGCGACCAGCCCGCGCAGCCCGCGCACAGCCCGCGAACTGCCCGCGAGCAGCCCGCGACCTGCCCGCGAACCCCCGCGAGCCGCCCGCGACCCGCTTACGCAGCCCGCGAGCAGCCCGCGCAGCCCGCGCTGAGCCTGCGCGGCTCGTGCGCTGACCGCCGCCGGCCCGCACGCTGCCCGCACTGCTCCCGGCCCGCCGCTGCTGAGCCCGCAGCCGCCCGCGCACCGCCGCTGCTGAGCCCGCCGCCGCCCGCGCACCGCCGCTGCTGAGCCCGCCGCCGCCCGCGCACCGCCGCTGCTGCGCCCGCTGCCGCCCGCGTATCACCGCTGCTGAGCCCGCCCCTGCTGCGCCGGCTCTCGCTGCCGCCTGCTGCGCCTGTGCACCACTGCAGATCCTACTACTACACTTCCTGCTACTGCTGCTTGTGCGCCACTACAGTCCGTAGGCCCCACCGGCCCTGCTGACCCTGCGCACGCCTGTTCAGTGACTTTACTGCTTCTACTACTGCCACTGTCGCTATGGCTAGTCCTCCTGTTCTAGCTTTCGACGCCGAGGGCCGTCCGGTCAAATTCGAAACCTGGCTAGATGACCTGCACCTTTTCCTACAGCTCACTGCCAAGGAAGATATTACACTGTACGACCACGCTCTCGGCCATGCGACCGCCCCACTCGCTACTGCCCCCCCAGCTGAGCGCTCACAGTGGCAGACCCGTGACGCGCACGCTCGCTTTGCTATTCGCAACTCCCTGCCGCTAGATGAGCGCGAGCACTTCGGCCAATGCAAGACTGCTAAGGACCTCTACACAGCTGTAGTGGCCCGCTACTCCTCACCCGCTTCTGCCACACTAGGCCGCCTCACTCTCCCCTACCTGTTCCCCGACCTAGCCTCTTTTCACACTGTCGCAGACCTCATCACCCACCTTAAGACTAGTGAGGCTCGCTTTCGCGCTGCCATGCCTGATGAGTTCCTCGCTAGCAACCCCCCCCCGCTCTGGATCACTCTCTACCACGTTGTCACCCGCCTCCCTGACTCTCTGCGCCCTGTCAGGGACCAGTTCCTCTCTCGCTCCCCCACTGAGCTCACCATAGCCCTCCTCGAGAAGGAACTGCTTGCAGCCGAGGCTAGTATCGTCGCTGTAGGCACCTCTCGTGGCGACCCCCGCGGCCCCTTCTTCGAGGGGTGCTCCCCTTCCCCCCTCCTCCCCTCTGTCGCCTCTGCTGCTGCTGTCGACCTCCTTGGTGCTGAGAAGGTCGGGGCTGCGTCTGCTTCAGGCGGACGACGCAGGGGCAGGAGTGGCAGGAGTGGGGGTGGTGGCGGAGGAGGCGGGGGTGGAGGTGGTGGCGGTGGAGGTGCGACTGGAGAGGCTAGTGGCGGCGGTGGTGGAGGTGACAGCGGTGTTGGGAGTGGTGACAGGGGCGGAGGTGGCAGCGGAGGCGGAGGTGGTCGTGGCAGCGGCAGGGGTGGAGGTGGCCGGGGCGGAGGCGGAGGGGGTGGTGGTCGTGGAGGCCCGGGGGGCGGTCAGAGTCAGCAGCCTGCCCCGACCCTTCAGGCCGCTCGTGAGTGGTATGCGCGGCGCAGCGTCACCTGCCAGTATGTTATTCGTACAGGTGACCGCACTGGCCAGACGTGTGGGGGGCCGCACCAGACGGAGCGCTGCTTCGCCCGCCTCAACGATGCGTGGCGCACCCAGTTTCCTGGTGGGGGTGAGCTGCC